TCTAAGATATAGAACTATTAAGAGAGAGACCCTTTTTCGTAGATAGTAATGACAGCATGAATTTTTTGAAAAGATGATACCTCAGAAATACTTTCTTCAAAAATTCTGAAATCTTTTGTACAATCTGGTCTAGCTGAGTCCTTCATGTAGGCAAAGTTTCAAGTTAGAATTCAAAAATATAGCTTTGCTGCAAAAGTGGTGTACTTTACAGAAAATTCACTAAAACCTCGATATCTCCCTAGGAACAAGTCATGGGCACGAACCATTATATTGTTTTCTTAGTCTCACTGACTACTACTCATAAAAAAAATATGGGGAGGTATGGTGTCCGACAGTTGGATAAGTTCCCTCGTCAGTTGTTTGTCCACGGATCCACTATAAGTCACAGGATTAGATAGAGCTCGAAATTTTAGACTTAGCACAATCAATCAATTAGAGAATTAGCAGGGACCGTAAAGCAAATCCAGGCACGAAATACTCAGTTTCAAGAATCCCAACATAAAAGTAAAATCTATATTTTAAAGAAGTATTCCAGTTTTTGATCGATGACCCGATCAAAAAAAGGATACCATCCGAGAGAATTCGAAATTCTGCATCTAACACAATCAATGAGAAAGGCAACACAACTCTATACGTGCATCTGGATAGAAATACTCGAATTCGGTGTTACCACTTCTTTCCTTGCACAATGACTTTGAGGGTGCAATGGGAGTCAAATGATCAATGAAAAACGAGTTTTGTGATCGCCATTTAAAAGAAAATTAGCGATATGAATGATCAAAGTGTGTCTAGCACGTAGCAGAAGTTGATCACTTGACGTTAACAGGATTACATAATTATTTACTAGCGAAAAATGAGGTAAAAACATGAATAATTGACCATTTTTGTCACGCTTCCTATTTTCATATACTTGAATGCCCCGAAAAGCCATACATACCATCTTGTAGAGCGAAGTTCACTCTATCTTTTTCACTATTTCGATTCTTCGGGAAATTTGGAAAGTTGAACTTTTTTAGTCAAAATGAAAACCACCCTGAATTTCTGAAATTCGATACTAATTACGTCTTGTTCACTCCAAAGGAGTTCCCGAAATAGTGCGATCGATAGAGCTCGAAAAACTGAACAAACATAGCCTATTGAGAAATTCCAGCAATCAAAAAATACCGAAGAAAAAACGCGTAGACAAAATTCTGCAAGAAACAAAAAAAATTATTTTTCATAAAAATTGTGAAAAGTTGACCGCTGGAAATCATGAATGGCAAAATATTTTTTGAAATCTAATTAGATCAAAATGATCAGCAAATCAAGCTCTACAAACCCTGAAAGTTTCACGTTGATAGGAGATACTTCATGTAAATGTGGTAGAAACCCCATGAAAATACCCTGCCAGCAAATCTTCTTCGTCATATTATCTCTTGTATCTTGATTTGATACAATTTAATCGCTATTGAGATTTTATAACAAATAAAAGACTTTTTCTTGCAATTTATTTTACAAATATTTGATTTTAGAAGAAATATTCTATTCTTGATTTGAACAAAACAAAAATCGATTGTAATAGAAGTTTATTATTAATGAATGAGAGTACGGGTGAGGGGTGAGTTTCAAGATAACTACCACAATCCGGATTTCGATCTTTGTTATTAAAAGATCAATCATCAGGTGACAGAACAGAAGAAATCTGCTTATATAAATGAGAATTAACAGACTAAAATGGAAAGAAATCGAAAAATCTCTTCGCTGGTTTCATGCATTAATTATATTTCAAAGCGGAAGGTTAGTGCATAAGAGATTTACTGACCTGTGTGTCTGTATTTATAATTGCATAAGATTAAATGGAAAATGTAAGTATTTTTATGGAAGGAATGCTATTATATAGCAGATGTTGATATCTGGAGATAAAGTGTTATGCTGAAGAATTTTGTATGTGAGCATTGCTTTTTTTCTTCAGTGGAGTATTTGATTTGAAAGAGAAAAGCATTGGAAATATGCGGCGATGAAATGATGCTCGCTTCTTTTATGAAATTACACTTCTTGAAATTGCAATAGAAATGATACTTCTAATTTTGTTATACTGGTGATTCGTGAAAGATATATGCATCATCTAGAGTAGATAGAAAAGAAATTTTATATGTTTAATTTTCAAAAGAATAGAATATTCTGAATAATATTAATGTGAAAATATGACAAAATTTCATATAATATATTCAAAAGTAGGAATATTGAATAAAGATAAAATTAAATAATTGTGAAACGATAATGGTTTTGCAAATAAACAAAATAATTCATATTTATTTATATTTCGAATAATTGATTACCAGTAAAATACATGACCAGTTTTTGATTAACAATATATTTGGCCCGTTTTATCATAGGTAATCGACGATTTTCGATGGCATTAACTATTGTGATCCGATTTTGCGCTGTCGAATTGCGGCTAGTCTTGTTCGGAGCACATGATTCCATTTCATTGGACATCATGTATAAGAAGGGTGTGGGTGTGGATGTACTTCTTTGCTTAGCGCACACCCACATCTCCCCCCCCCCCCACATCCACAAGCACAGGCACACCCACCCACACTCACACTCACATCCCACACCCTCATCTATTAAAAAAAATTGATATTTCTATCAAATACAAAAGCTAGTTAATGCTTTTAATGTGTAATTTAAACATGATGGTTGAGTGTGGATGTCTGTGTTAGTGACGTTAATACACGATGCCGTTCCCACCCACCAATACGCACATCATCACATACCCTCATCCACCAACCCACCCACACATCCACACCTGAAACCCTAAAAATCGATCGAAAAGCAAAAAAATTATAAGAAGAATCATCGATTTACAATTATCTTGATTAATACATCATTGATCTGATGAGAAGACAGACAGTTTCAGCTAACCTGAGGGCGGATTGTCTGGTACCGGCATGCGTTCACCATGAGAATACATTTGTCGATGTTTCGATGACTTGATCGGACACCCTTGCTGATAATCGCATGGAATAAAGAAATCGGCCATATTCGAATGATGATAAGAAGCACGGTGAACAGGATCTTCGAGTTGACGGCATGTTCCATCGTACCGACATTTAGGAACTTTATGCGGTGCATCAGTAAGATGAGGTTCATTGTGAATATTTCGGCAAAGTTCGGAATAGCGACATGGATGCGTGTGGGTAGTATGAAGTATGGGGTGTGGGTTGTGGATATGGGGTGTCGGTTGTGGAGTGTGGGTGTCGGTTGTGGGTATGGGGTGTCGGTTGTGGAGTGTGGGTGTGGATGTGCTTCTTTGACTCACGCACACACGCACCCACACCCACACCCTGATTTATATCCATGTAACATTCCAAACAAGACTGTCGTTGTTCGACAGAGTTTTATACTAAATACAACTCTATTTTCTTTGTTAAGATAAAGATAAACGTCATCTGAGTGATATCATATGTTATATTTATATAAAGGTGAAGAGTATTAGTTGACATAGTTTGTTTGCTACCCTTGGATAAGGACAACGTCTGTAATGTCGCAAAATTTCGAAATGTCATGAAGGAACAACAATTTTACTCTAAATAAAAATGATCATCACCTTATATACAATCGGTAACATCAGTGCGAATGTAGATGAACCTATTTGGAGACTAATAGTTTAGAAACCATTCATAACATTGTTTATTTATATGCAATGTGTAGTATTTTGTAGGAATAATAATCAATTATAAGCAAACTCATGCCTTTATCCTCAGATTCTCACTCGAATATGCTTGAACTGGCTCTTATTGTGCTCAATGTCTTATTTATTATTCTCTTTGGCGAAGCAACTCATTTCTTACAACCTTTACAACTATCGTTTACTTTGGTTCAGTACTTTAAAATTGATTTAATTATGTTTCTCTTTGCTTCAATTAAACGAATGTATTTTTTTTCTAATAAAATGCCATCTTAGATTAGAACATTAACTCGGTATGTGAAGGCATACAAAAAAGCAAAGGATTTCCAAAATAATTTTGATTAAATATATTATTTATATGAATGCACTTGTTTTAGAAAAAGCCAGTGATTATGACGGTTTTTTTTTTGACCTGAAAGTTGAACAGAAGCAGCGTGGCGCAGTGGAAGCGTGCTGGGCTCATAACTCAGAGGGCGGTAGATCGAAACTACTCGCTGCTATTTCTCCCTTTTTTTTATTCGTACCTTTTACATACCTTGCAAATCTTGCGCAATACTTTGCAAAGAATCACTAAATCAAGTATTGTCTTTCATGTGTGCATTGATAGAATTGTTCATGTGGCAAAAGATTATATCTGACTGTCGGTCACCATTCAACTTTATATTTTGGCTATGCGTGAGATTCAGTGAAGATATTGAATTTTTAGTGTCTGGCGCGGGATCCACGTGAAGTTAAATGGGTGTGGGTGTGGGGTGTGTGCATGTGTGGGGTGTGTGCATGTGTGGGGTGTTTGCATGTGTGGGTGTGGGTTTGGGCGTTTGAGTGAGTATGAATCAGATACTCTCACACCCACACCCACACTCACCCACACCCAACACCCCACCCACACCCACACCCCACACTCACACCCCACACTCACACTCCACACTCACACCCATACCCCACACTCACACCCACACCCCACACCCTATACATTATATATACAGACAGAGAGATCATTTCTAATTACAGAAAATTAATAACTTACATTCACTTTTATAGATTTAGTTCTATTCTGAAGAAAAGACAATTTAGTCAGTAGAATGAGAAACCGCCATATGTCATGCTGCTCTATGACCATTCTCAGATTGAAAGTATTACTATCGTCGAACAACCTAGCAGGCAAGAATGATTTGACTTCGTGATTCACGGTTCTCTGATAAAGATGAGAATAACTTTTTTGTGTGTGATATAAACGTGCATATACATATATATATACATATCTACATGTATGTAGTGTTCCCGGGTGTCGTATAGTTAGAAAAAATTATTAATCATCAGTATCATATTAACTTGGTCCGACCGATACAATTTTGTGTTGTTGAACAACAAATTTCCAATTTTTTACTGGTGATATAACATGAGCAAATGGAGCAGTAAGTACTAAATTTCCACATTGAATTTTCTCTATTATCGCATCTGCTCTCCATGTCCCCATATTAAACGTTAGTTCCTTTATTAAATACCGTTCATGTTTCCTAATAGTAAATGGGCCAAATTTTACTGTACGTCCTGATGGTAGAGACCGGAATACATCACATCGAACTGGTGAGACCCGTGCGTTATAGATAACAGCTGAATAAACTATAGATGGTGAAGGCACAGATGAAATTCTGGTTGCAAGTAATAAAGTAAAAATAGCAAAATACATCATCAACATGATCAATTTGTATCTAAAATACGAAAAGACAAAACACTTTTTTCTCTACACATAAAGATGGTAAATCATGTTAAGTATCATTTCAAATACAAATTTCAATAAGATTAATGTAATGTTTATATTCTATTTGCTTTAGAATATTGTTTTAACCCTCAAGTAGACCAGTATATTGTCGCTGTTCATAGCCTCACAGAAAGCTCTATCTGCTGATTGACAAATTCTTACAATAGAAAACAAAATATTTGTTATTTTAGAATAAAACAACGAAATTATTACAAATTAACTAAGGTGCGGGAAATGCAAAATTTGAGCATAACTTTTTTTTTCAATGTTTTATATATGGTTGGATAGAGCTCGTGAAACTGTATAAGAAAATGTATTTTCAAAAAAATTTTCTTGCTTGATATAAAAAAAAAATCAAAATACTTTGGTGAGATTAGTCCATGTAAAAATCGACTACTTTTGAGAAATTATATTTAAATTTCTCTTTTTCTTGTTCTAATAATTCTAAGAATATTATTTTCTTTATCAGTATGAAAAACTGAGTATAAAACATTAATTATCGAACAAGAAAACTAAATGTGATCAATTCCAAACGAAACGAAACAGTTCGACGAGTAAAAATTAACTGGTTATATGCCTTGGCCATGAAGAAAGAATTGAAACATGACAACGTTAATGAAAGACATGTATCAAATGATAAACTGAAAAGTAGGATCTTCTTAATTACATAGAAATATATTTTTGTACATAAATGGTCTTTACCTTTCAAGTCAAACAGAAACTGAAATGTATA